CAACACTTTCACTTCAGTAAGGAGGTCTCTTGTTCAGGCAGCATTCAATCGTGGTCTTATTCGACCGTAAGTGCCCCGCGAAGTGGACTTCACATGAAATTCCGCCATGATTCCAGTTCCAAAGGAATGTACACGTTACATTCAAAGGGCATTAAAGTGCGCGAGACGTGAATTTATTTTGTATTTATTTACAGAGGTATATTATGTCACACTTCTCTAGTAAGTTTCGTCTGTGTGTGAAGACAGTAGCACAAATCCGTGAATGAATGAATGTTTCGAAGTGAAAAACTTTAACGGAATAAAGTTGAATGGAATTGAATTGAAGTTGAATAAACTTCAACTTTACTGTTCAGTGCACTGATGTCAGACTCATTTTGGATAATAAAGTTTGTTAAATTGTTAAATGCCCTGCCTCCATTACGTATCTCTGTCACGTCATTACAAGTGTTTCATCACCACATTTGAGTGATCATTGCAAAAAATGTGTTTATGTATATATATTCTGTTTATGTATATACTGTATTCTATATATAGTACCAGTCAAATGTGTGGACACACGAATGGGAAAGTGGCCAAACTTTTGACTGGTACTGTACTATAATATACACAAAGAATATCGGCCGATATATCGGTATCGCCCTTTTTTTTACTCCCTAATATCGGTCGGGCTCTAATAATTTTAATCCCTGTTTCGGAACAAAGCAATCGATCTACAGGTGCGAAAGCACCCTTAATGGATTAATTCTACAAGACACTTTCTGTGCAAGGTTTATTTTGTGCATCTGTATGGTAGGATACGACCGAACTGCTCGACGAGCTCCGGAGGCAGAGGAACCCTGCGGATGGCACTGAGCTCAGGAAGACTCGGCACGCTGATCAGCCCCGGTCCCTGCAGAGGGTAATCCATGTCCGACACGCCCGAGAGCGAAGGCATATCTGTCAAACACCAGACACAAGCACATGAACGTGTTTTAAGCTCAATAAGCATGCCTCAACAATGGCCAGGACAGACAGTATCTCTTACTGTGTGACGGGATATTGAGGAGCTCGGACAGGTCTGGGAAATAGCGATCCTCCTGCAGATGCCTGTTAATCAAGCGGCTGGAGTTTTCCAAAGCCTCCTGAAGAACTGCGGCTGGACTGCTGGAGCCCAGACTGGACGGCATGATCACTGCAGACTACAAACCACCTGCAGAGAGAAGAACATAAATCTATTATTATAATAAAAAAATTAAAAAAAGTATAATGCATGTTAATACAAATTTAAAATATACATACATATATATATATACATACATACATACATACATATATATATATATATAACACACGTGTATATATATTTTTTTTAATTTTAATATAATTTTATTATACATTTCTATACACACACACACACACACACACACATACATACATATATATATATATATATATATATATATATATATAAA